AATGTAAGAGAACAGCACATTTAGTCCTGTAAGTCTCTCCTATGGGCGTAAAATCAAAGTCAGAGTCCTCATATGATCCCACGAGCTACTAGCCTGAAATAACATAAAACCAAATTTAGAAATTGATGTTTTATGTTTGAATTATACCTCCACTTGCAGATATAAACTAGGTTTCATATATAGATACAGCATGATCAGGAAAGAGTAAAATCCTAGCGATGGAAACTGAGATATAAGGGAGGAGTCAGAGGAACTGGGGAAACTAAGCCTTCTAGCTTCTCTGAAATGTTCCCACATTGCACCCCCATTCCCACCAACCAGAAGAAACTAACAATCCAGCCCACTGGGCTCCACTGTTCAGCAATGCCCACTGTATGACCAGCATTCGAACTCTTCATGGACTGGATGCGGTTATGCAGAATCAATGCAGAGAAGAAAGAAGTTATACACAGAGACTAGCTAAGGAATATAATTAAGACTGGGGATATTGTGTTGGCATAGATTTTGAGGATAGGGTGTGTTATTAGTGGTGTCATTTACTAAGTAATCCATCTCCTGATGAATATCAGATGGGATTTCAATATAACTAAAAAAGGAATGAAGATTACCCAGGTATCTAGATTTAGAAAAAAATGGCTCTGTGGATTCAGTAGTTGGTGTTACTTTGCATTGTAGCTCATTGCATTTGTGGTTATCAGGTCATGTTGAATAGGAGCATCTTGGGACACATGGGATGAAGTGTATTGTGTGTAGCAGCTAAAAAGGAAAATGTAATAGTCACCACATGGAGCTGGTGCCTAATGCCCTCTTCTCTGAGTACAGCCCCTGAAACTTAGAATGAGCCCATGAAGCCTTTATCTGTATTATGTGGCATCCTGATACCTCCCACCCTCTGCTCCCACCACCACAATAGCTGGACGCAGTGGTGTACCAAAGGTTGGGCAAGAGAAGCAGTGTGCCTGGGGGAAGGCAATAAAAAAATCTGTAGAGAATTTAAAAGCAATAATAAAGCCAACTAGAAGTCAGTCTGCTTTTCATTATCACCATGTGCCGGTGATTCCAAACAATGTCAGTGATACAGTACTGCTTCCTAAAAAAAAGCTTTTGTGGGACTAAGTTCTAAACCATTGTTTTGTTACTACTGAGTTTTAATAATATGCATGTAAGCTTCAAATTAGCACTTTTTTATTACTTATCCTTTATAGCTTGCATTCTACTTAGAAGTTAATTCAAACTCCCAGTTATACAGTCATGCCCCAATACACACAAACTCAGCCACACACATTTGTTTTGAATAAGTTCCTGACAGTTTGAAAATCATTCGAGCTTACTTCACATGCCCAGCCCCATCGTGCCACATACTCCTGCATCTAAACAGTAGATTCAAAATAAGCAATAATATTACCCTGATTACAGAAATGAAGAAACAGATTTTGAATTACTTTAATTCCATCATTCTGTGAATGCCAGGAGAAATGACAAAAGATGCTGGTCTTATGTTGCCAGCAAAAATCAAAAGAGCAATATATAAATGTCTTGGTCATTATCACCAAGAACTGGGCACCTGATCTAAAGCAATGGGCAGAATAATGTTAGTATTTGCTAATATTCAGACATGAATGCTGATATTTTTATTGAAACATAACTGTACATATTTATTGCATGCGTGTGATATTTTGATACATGCATACAATATGTAATGATCAAATTAGGGTATTTAAGATATTCATTACCTCAAAAATGTATCATTTCTTTATGTTGGGACTATTTCACATCTTCTAGCTACTTTAAAATACACAATAAATTAGTATTAACTATAGTTACCCTACAGAACTATTGAACACTAGAACTTATTCCTTCTATCTAACTATATGTTTGTACTCATTAACCAATCTTTCTTCATTCCCCCTGAACATCCCTTCCCAACTTCTGGTAACCATCATTCTACTCTCTATCTCCATGAGATCAACTTTTTTAGCTTCCACAGATGAGTGAGAACGTGAAATATTTGTCTTTCTGTGCCTGACTTATTTCACTTAGTATGTTGACCTCCCGTTCCATCCATGTGGCTGCAAATGACAGGATTTCATTCCTTTTTATGGCTGAATAGCATTTCATGGTGTATCTATACCACATTTTCTTTTACCCCTTCATTAATCAATAAACACTTAGGTTGATTCCATATCTTGGCTTTTGCGAATAGTACTAGAATACACATGGGGTGCCGGTATCCTTTTGATATACTTTCTTTTGGATAAATACCCAGCGGTAGGAATGCTAGATTGTATGGTAGTACTATTTTTAGTTTTTTGAGAAAACTCTATACCATTTTCCATAGTGGCTTTACTAATTTACATTTCTACCCACAGTGTATAAGAGTTCCCTTTTCTCTGTATCCTCATCCGTATTTGTTGTTTTTTGTCTTTTTTTTATAATAGCCATTCTGAGGCGAGATGGTGTCTCATTGTGGTTTTGATTTGGATTTCCCTGATGATTAGTGATGTTGAACATTTTTTCAAATACCTGTGGACCATTTGTATGTCTTCTTTTGAGAAATGTCTACTTGGGTCTTTTGCCCATTTTTAATGGAATTATTTGGTGGGGGAAGAGGTTGCTGTGAAGTTGTTTGTAACTCTAATTTTTGTAGAACAAAAATTTTGGAAGTTTTAACTAAAAATAATAAAAAATATGACTGCACTTGCGTTTCTGTTTAACTTGTGAACAAGCCCTTATAGACAAGTGCAAAAAATAAATCCTCTTTTGCAACCCAGATCTCATTGTTTAATAAGAGTTTTGATACACATAAAAGAGATATTACAATTTTTTAAATGATGAATTTTCTAATTTTTTTAGAAATGTTTCAACTGTGTCAGCATTTGAAAGCTACTAGACTCATTCCCTAAGACATGAAAATATGGATGGCATTGTAATTTCTAGAACTTCTTATGAAATGAGATTTTTGTGAGTCTGCTAAACTTATCTTTCTGTTTAAAACTTTTTCTATTTATTTATATGTTTCTTCAGATGAATTTTTAAATTAAAATTAATAAGAAGTATGAACAAAGATAGAGTGACATACCTGATTATACTGACTGTTGAGGATAAATATGCAAAGATTAATTTTGATAAAATTATTTACAAGTTTGCAAAAGTTACAACCTGAAAATGAAAATTGTGATATATTGTTATCATTCATTGCTGTGACAGACCAATCTGCAAGTCTAAATTTTTCTTTTCTCCAAAAAAATTAATGTAATAAAAGTATTATTTCATTACTTTGCCCTTTATTATACTGTAATAATTCTTTTGTATCATATTGTTTATTTATATTTTATTAGTATGACTGTATATACACAGTTTAATAAATTGTTTTTTCACTGTTTGCATTTCTTTCCTGGCATCATCATCAGTTATACTAATGCATACATTAACTGTATTTCATGATTACCAATGAAAATAACTTTGTTGGGGAGGTGTTACAAAATTATTCACTTCAGGTATCTAATATGCCAGACATCTCACTAGCTGACTGATCCAGGGCACATAACTGACCAAACTGGGGCCCCTTGACTCCCTCCCCAGGAAGGGGGAGGGTGGCTCTGAGCAGCAATGGGCCTGACTCAGTGGGAGCTGAGTCATGTAATCAACAGCACCATAGAGTCCGTGAACTCCCACCATAGAGGTCCTAGAGCTGCCCTGATCTGACCTTCCCACAGCCCCCTTGGGTTGTGAGATACCCCAGAGTCATTCCAGTAAAACTCCCTTCTGCCCCTTTTGCTCTTAGAGCCAGGATCAGTTTCTACTACTGGAAGAGCTATTTTTCCACAAGGAAGGTAGAGGAGGAAGGGTGGCATGGGAATGGAATAGCAGGGAAAGAATTCTGCCAGCCAAAGCGTCTGAAATGAGAGCACACACCCATGCTCCGCTGCTCACTCTGCAAGGATGACCCACAGAGACACCTGGCACAACAGCGTGGGGTGTGTGAGTGGGACACAGGGACGGACAGGAGTAAAAAGACAGCTGAAGGGGAGGCTGCCTGTGCACCGGGAGTCCCACACCTCCCTTCTCACCGGGCAAGCCTCCTAGCCCAGGGCCTTTTTCCAACCATCTAAAGATGTGGGTTGTCCCTTGCTGAAGAAGTGACAATGACATCAGCCCCCAGGTGGCTACTAACACTTGTAGAACATCTAATGTCCAGGTTAGATATAAGCTGTGGACGTCCATAGAACTGTCTACCCAGCCTGCTCTCAGCCCCACAGTAAGGCAAGAGTGTCCTGATTCTTGCATGTCCCCACCCCACTGGCCTCAGCTAACTGACCCAGGGATGGTCTCTGACTCATGCTGAACCAATGAGCTTCTTCCCCAGGAATTTTTAACTGGGCCTTGAGGAAATCAAGGTCAGACTCCCTCTCATAGGGGAAGCTATGGCTTTCCAGAAAGCTGGATTGCAGTGACGAAGGGACAGGCAGAGATAAACAGAACAAAATAATAGGTGGCATTTGAGTCTCTTGTTCTAGCCACATCCTCGAGACTTGGTTTTTCTACATGTCTTAGGATTCTTAGAGGAATAAATTCCTTATTTTGCTTATTGAGGTGAGGTCTTGGTATTTGCAAAGTTACACAGGTTGTGTGAACCTTAAGTGTGCTGGGTTACTTTTTGAAAACAAGAACAACATTGAGAGATCAGAAAACATGAGTAGCCGTCACACCAATCCACCTACCAGCTGCGACTTGTGATTGTCATACCTGGCAGTTGCATACTTGAGACTGTGCTGTGTCTGGTTTCACTGTGCTGCCTGCACTTGGCGGGGCCAACAAGCAGTGGGCAGAGAGTGCCCCTAGGAGGGCTGGGGCGGCTGTGCCCACCTGCAGCTCCCACGACAGTTTCATTCTCAGGATGGGATCCAGCTGCCTGGCCCTGCCTATCTAAGGACCCCACATACCCTGCTGTTGCCTCCTGCTGGATTTCTTCTCTCCATACTTTATCCCCCAGGGCTTACCTCTCACAGGGAGGAAACCCTCTTCTGTCTCCTGATTTAGTGGGAGGGAGGAGATGAGTCTCCAGCGAGCTGTCTTGTGGGGTCCAGAGCAGATAAAGAAAGGAACTGATATTTCCCTGCACCTGTGATGTGCCTGGCACTTCTATGTGGGCCATCCCATGTAATCCTGACCATAACCACGTGAGGCAGGTGTTGTTATCCTCATTTTACTTGAGAGCTCAACCAGAATGTTATTCTTCCTCATGTCTGTAAATAGCACATGTCCTTGGCAGCCACCGTTCTCTCCCCACCCATTTTTCAGCCTTGTTTTCCACACACGAAGCAGCACGATTAGAAAGCCAGCTACTGCTGACTCCTGAATGTTAGAAGCCAGGGGAAGTCCCTATTTTCATACCAAACCTGGTTTCCTGGTGGGCACACAAATTGTTGCCTGCTAAAATAGCAACTCTGGCAAAAATGTCTCCAATCTGCTTAGATGTGCATCAAATTAGGAGCTGGCCTTGCAGTTAAACCAACTGACTGTTTCTAGTGACCTGGAAACAAAACTCCCTTTAAAGCTACCAACTGCTGGCCTAGAATCATCAGCACCACTAGAAACATGGGGCCCTAAAGCAAAGCCTCCTGATAGCTTTGATTTATTTCAACCCCACCCCTCTCCATCACTATTCTTTACTCTTTTCCAGCCCACACAGGACAGGACAAGACTGCCTTCAAGCAGACACACACACACGCACTAACAGTTATAGATGGTATCAGATGAGCGCAGGCTGGGGGCCATGGTCTCTGCGACTTTAAGAAGAGGAGATGCTCGACCCTCGACTGTCTCTCTTGCACTGCGACTGTCTCTCTTGCACTGCTCGTGCTCTCTCTCTCTACACCCTCAGCCTTTAGGCAATCAAGACCAGAGTCACAGGATCAGGTTCCACAGCCACTTTCAACAAAAGTTGATAGCACTGTCATAAACTCAAATGCCCTTAGGGATCTGGCAGGTCACAATAAAAATAGTTGACATTTTCTCAGACATGATGGGCTGTCTCAAAACTTCTATGGCTGCTGTTCCATCTAGCTCAACACTCTTCCTCCCTGGGTTTCTCCAGGTGGCTCACTCTTCACCTCCCTCCAGTCTTTTCTGGAGGGTCATCTTTTCAGTGAGGCCTCCCTGACCACCCTATTTTAACTGCACCCAAGCACTGTCCCCTTGCTTGCCTGCTTCATCTTTTTCCGTAGCATTGATCACAGTGCTTACTAAATAATGTGACTCTCCCATGCCTCCACAAGGCTATAGGTGCCATAAGGGTAGAGATTTGTCTGTTTCGTTCCCTCATGTATCCCCTGTCCCTAATATGGCCTGGCTTATAGCAGGTGTCCAAATAAATATTCACTGTATACCCTAAACACCTGGACGTATTAATCCTCCCAAAAACCTGTGAGACAGGTACCATGACGATGATGATGACAATGACAATGATGATGCCCATTTTATACATGAAGCTGGAGTACAGAGAGGTCAAGGTGCACAGCTAGTAAGAGGGAGCTTCCTGAACTCAGACCCATGAAGTCTGGCCTCAAACCACACCAGCAATCACTGCAGTGTTTCTCATACTCTCTGTACAATGTGGCAGAGGCTGGCAGCAACTGTGACAATTGGAAAATGCATACCCTGCCTTAAAACATTGTGTTTTTAAAATCCTGTTCTGAACCAAAAAAAAAAAAAGAAAAATCTGTTTGCCTTATTTAGCCCTCAGGCCACAAGTTAGATGGGGATTAACCCAAAGCAGGCATTGTAGGTAAAAATAGGATTTTACGGCCGGGCGCGGTGGCTCACGCCTGTAATCCCAGCACTTTGGGAGGCTGAGACGGGCGGATCACGAGGTCAGGAGATCGAGACCATCCTGGCTAACATGGTGAAACCCTGTGTCTACTAAAACTACAAAAAAAAAAATATATATATATATATATATATATATTAGCCAGGCGCGGTGGTGGCGCCTGTAGTCCCAGCTACACAGGAGGCTGAGGCAGGAGAGTGGCGTGAACCCGGGGGGCGGAGCTTGCAGTGAGCTGAGGTGGCGCAACTGCACTCCAGCCTGGGTGAGGAATAGCGATTTAAAGAAAGATTACCCAACCAACTTTGGGTGTTGAGGAATCCAAAGGTATTTTTTGCTCGGTTATTTTCCCTTTGTGGCAAGAAGGTCCATGCTAAGGGAGGGTCCCAGGAGAGCCATTTGAACAGTAATCTTGTGGGATCCTCTAGATTTTTTAACAACAGAAGCAGTTAGAAAAACATGGGAGAACCTTCCTGGAGAGTTGATTGCAGGGCCATCCAAATGACAGGCAGACTGTGGATTGCCACAGGCTGATCTTCTGGGACAGCAGCAGCTTCGGAGAAGAAGGACCCCACACAGAGCCATGGACATGTGCATTGTCCTGGCATCTTCCATGGCATTAAGGGATCTCATTGTGTGTCCTTCTAGACCTTCCAGAAACGATCCATTTCTTTGGTGGTTGGGCAGTTTATGATTAAGACACCACGACATCCCAGCTTCCTTCAGCCCCCAGTCATCTCATATCAGTTGTCGGTTCAGGAATTACAGTGCCAGTCAAAGCCTCCAGAAATGCCTTCAAACAAGGAGACTCTGAAGCCACAGATATTTGTTGAAAGCCACAGGCCACATTAATATCATGACCCAGACTGTAGGAAAGATGAAAGAGGACCATTTCTCTTTTGTGAGGCAGTTGCAGCCAAATAATAACTGGCCCAGTCTCTCCATGCAACTGAAAATGGCTAGATATTATCCATTCCTTCATCAGCCACTCAATAACCATGGGCTGAGCACCTCATATGTGCCAGCACTGTGCTGTGCAGTGGCATAGACAGGCATGAGGCAGGGATGTTCCCACACAGGGAGATAAGCCCTGCGTCAGATGTGCGGCTGGAAGCTGTGAGAATGCAGAGGAGGCAGCCGCACCCTCTCTAAGGTATGCTGTTTACTGGGGTGAGAAAGAAGCAAATCAGAGCCAAGTTGCGTAGGGTTGTTTGAAGGAAGGGAGTCCCCAAGGGGCCTGCCAGGTGGACAGGTTGGAGCAGACAGTTCCTCCCCAAACAGGAAGGACCATCAACTCATCACAGCGTCCGGCCATGGTATGGACTGCCCCACATGCAGGAAGTGCCCTAGAGCCCAAAAGCGCTTCAGCAATGTCCAGTTCTTCATCCACCCAGGCTGAGGTAGAAGGAGTCCTGTCTTTGGCAACCTCCAAGTTAACTTCCTTCTACCTGTGAATTTTCATCATTCTTTGGAACAACAGAAGAACTTGCCTTCTCCAAACTCTGCATCTCACTGAGCCTCTATATTTGCAAGTGGGTGCCACCAGCTTCTCTGTGCACAGTGGTTGGGCTCGCAAGTCAGACATACTTGGGTTAAGGTTCACTTCCTGGCTGTGTGGACCTCACAGAATTTACTGCCTCTTCTGGAGTCTTTGTTCCCCTGTCAGTAAAATGGAGTGGTGTCTAACTCAGGGGATTGCTGGAAGGATGAACTGAGGACAGGCAAGTGGAGAACCACACACATTGTGTTAGCACAGAGTATTCAATTGTATGTTCTACCAAGAAATGGCATGGAAAGTGCTTTGCAAGCTAGATCGGCCAATGCAATTTATTTATTATGATTTTTGTTACTTGTAAGCTCCATAAAAGCAGGGATTTTTGTCTGTTTTGGCCACAGTTATACCCCAGAGCCTAAACAGTGACTGGCATATAGTCGGCACTCAGTAATATCTGTGGAATAAATGAATGAATGCTAGCTAGCCCAGGAAGAGATACACAACCTGAGAAGTTGGCAGGCAGAAAATGCACTCCTCCTTTATCTGGCCAGGAACTGGAAGCAGCTGCTGCTCCATATGGAGCGGCCCCCAGCCCCCAAATATCTGCCAGCTTGTGGGGTGACAGTGTAACCCCGGCTGCTTCTCTGGAGCTCAGTTCTCCCCACCACCCCCACTCCCCCCCACCCAGCCAAGATTAACTCTTCCAGAACTCTCTCTAGCCTAGCTGAAGGCTGGATGGCATATGCACATCCCTGCTACATCTGAGCTGGTCCCAGGCACCACCTCCAGGTCAGGGCTATTTTGGATCTGAGGGTGTCAGGAACATAAAAAGGACCAGTCTTGGAAGTTGTGGCTGAGACATGGGCAGAGAGTGCTGGATTCACTCCCCACGTCTAAGCTAGAGCCTGAAATAGCGGAAAGATCTCAGAATAGCTCCTGGCTTCATCACAACTCCAGACTGGAGCATAACACACACCAGAGAGGGGCCAAATACGCAGCTTACACAGGCAGTTTGGGGCATGGGAAAGTCCTCTGGATGAAAAAATGAAAATCACAGAATAAAACCTAGGACTGTCCTTGTTCAGGGGAGAGTGGCAGCATCTTCCGAGGATCTAGTGGTAGGGCCTATGAACGGTGACTGGTGTAGGCAAGGTCACGGAGCCAGCAGTGTGGCCATAGCTAGTTGCAGTTAGCCCTGGAAAGCCCTAGAGTGGAAACCTGTAAACATCCAGGGGGGTTCAAAAGTATTCGACTCAACAAGGATGTGACCTGCCATGGCCCTGAGGAGGACACCAGGGCCTTATAATCATCAAAAGCCTCATGAGCCAGGCATTGGGTTGTGCATCTTTTTTTTCCTTTTTTCTTTTCTTTTTTTTTTTTTTTTTTTTTTTGAGACAGAGTCTCACTCTGTCGCCCAGGCTGGAGTGCAGTGGCGCGATCTCGGCTCACTGCAAGTAAGCTCCGCCTCCAGGGTTCATGCCATTCTCCTGCCTCAGCCTCCGGAGGAGCTGGGACTACAGGCGCCCGCCACCACGCCCGGCAGGTTGTGCATCTTAAAGACCTTATCTTATTTAGTTCTCACCGTAAGTCTGAGCAGAAGACACTATTACTCTCACTTTACAGGTAAAAGCACTGAGATCCACAAGCATTAAGAAACATGGCTCAGTGAGTAAGTGGTAGAACTTGGATTTGATTGCTGGTCTGTGTGATTCCAAACAGCATTTTAGCAGGGTCTTTATGAAAGGGTAGGATTTTGATATCTTGAGAG